ACCATACCCAGCTTATCCTCATTTCTGAAAGATATTTTAGTTGGTTTTTAGAATTCTTTGATGATTATTTTTGGCTTGGTCTGTGTACTTTAAAAATGTTGGTCCACTTTCCCCAGATTTGCATTGTTTCTGATGACCACTCATGCCTGCCTTTAAGATTCTCCTTTTTAACACTGTTCTCCAGCAATTTTGCTCTGAAATGTTAGGATAATTTTGTTACTCCCCTTTGAGGTTATTGAACTTGAATTTGTGAGTTTATAGTTCTCATCAAATTAGAAAAAAATATGATTGCTGTTTTTTATCTTTCCCAATCTTCCTGGGACAGTATTTACATTATATTTAGGTCCCTTGGTAAGGTCTCATAGTTCATTGCTTTGCTTAATATTGTTGCACAGTTCATAGCTAACTGCCCCATAGTTTTGTTTTGTTTTTCCTTGTTTCATTTCTCACTGAGTTTAATTTTGGATTATTTTCTTCTGTGTCTTCAAGTTCATTCAACTTTTCTTTTGTTGCATTGAATCTGCTGTTAATTCTATCTAATTATATTTTTCTTTAGAGTTGAATTTTTATCTCTAGAAGATCAATCTGAGCCTTTCGAAAAAACTTAGAATTTTCAAGTAATTATAAACTCATAGAGATGTTCTATATGATTATAACCTCACTTTCTTCAAAGGGGTTATTGCACATAATTATAGTGCATTACTGAAACCAGAAATTGTCACAATATAATTAGGCTAACTCTGATTTCACCAGTTTTTGTATGCCTTTACATTTGTGTTAATCCTTATCATTTTCTGGTTTTTTATTACATGCCATATAATTACCATCAGTGACCATAAAGAAATTCCTTTTGGTGCCATTTTGGGTCTTTTGTATATTGTGTGTGGTGGCTTATCTTGATTGTCAACTTGATTGGATTGAGATGCCATGGAGATTAGTAAAGCACACCTGGATGTGTATGTGATGGCCTTTCCAGAGAGGATTAGATCAAGAAGACTCTAAGCTAATTAATCACTTAATCCATTAATGGATTCAGGTTTTTGACTAGGTTATTGGGAGATGGTAGAAATTGGAAGATAGGGCCTGGTTGGAGGAAGTAGGTCATTGGGGGAAGGAAGAGGGTGCTGTCTTTGAAGGTAATATTTTGCCCTGGCCCCTTCCTGTCTTTGTTTCTTGGCTCCATGAATTGAACCACTCTGCTTCACCACCCTCCTTTCCATGATGAACTGAAACCTCTGAAACCATGACCTAAAATATCTTTCTTTCCTTAAGTTGTTCTGTCAGGTATATGGTTACAAAGACAGAAAGGTAACTAACATACCTTGCATTATTGTCCTGTTCATTCTGTGTCTTCGAATGTCTCGCATACATTTATGGTACTTCTTTTACTATTCTTGCCTTTGTATTACTATTACTATTCTTCTATTTGTATCATGACTGGATTTATTTCCATTTGTATTTTTCCTTGTTATGGGTTATATTTCCTGCTTTTTAGTTATTTTTTGGGGTAGAGCCTTGGTGTTTGCCTGGACTGTCCTGGACTTTGATCCTCCTAGTTACACCTCCTGCACAGCTGGGATTACTGGAGCTCATTACCACTTCCAGCTTTTTATTGGTTGAGATGGAATCTCCCTGACTTTTTGCTCTCACTGGCATTAAAAGTCCATCCTCCCGTTCTCTTTCTTCCCAGTGGCTGGGATACGGGCATGCACCACCACAGTGCCTAGCTGTTTTCTTGCTTTTTGATTAAGTACCAGACGTTTAATTTTGTGTTATTTTTTGCTAGAGTGTGTTGTGTTATTTTATATGTTGTGGACTTAATTTTGAGGTACGGATATGTTACTTAGAATCAGTTTGATATTTTCGGAACTTGGTTTTAAGCTTGTTAGTGCTAACCCAGAAACTCTTTTAGTTCAAAACTTGATTTGATTGCTAAGGCATTCATTACCTTCTGAACTATAACTTGATACACCATGTCGAGAGGCCCTTCTGGTCTTGTTGATCTGAATATGAGCTTGAGGATTGTTTTGACTTCTTCAAAGTCTTTTTCAGTAGACTCAATATTTTTTTTCACATGCATTCACAAATCATTACTCAGCTTAAACCTTAAGAGGATTTCTCTCTCTAGATCTTTGGAGATCTTTTTGTGCAGCTTCTGTCTGCAAATTCTAGTTACTTTGATGTACCCCTAACTTGGTACTCTGTTAGACCATTGTTTAACTCAGTAAGAACACTGGCTCCAATTCGGTTCTACTTTCCTCTCCCTGTCAGCCTTAAAACTTCATACAATGAGCTGGAAGCAGTGATAGAGGTCTTTTCATTTATTCCTTCTTCTTGTTGACATGTGTCCTGAGATGACAGTTTAAGTTTTTGAAAAGCATTATTTTTACTTATTTTCTCTAGTTTTATAGTTATTTAAGGTAGAAGGGTAAAAGTAGTCTCTTCTATTATGGAGGACATCCCTGTCTTGTAGAAAATTTCATTGTAGCTTTGCAAAATGTAGTTGTCTTTTCTGACTTCTTTAATATTTGCAAGGCTTTTTGAGAAAAGTGTTTAAACCTTGAAAAATAGTATGTTTGTTCTGCTTGTTTTTTTTTTTTTCACCATATACTCATTCTCTATTTTTCGGGTATCGTTTTATTTCCAATGTGAAGATTAACATACAGTGTGTTACTGAACATTTTTACTTAATATAGTGAAGATAGTGGTGATAAATGTTAATTTGTTAAATGTGTTAAATATTTTTATTATTAAGGTGTTATTTAAAATAAAGTCTCATTCCTAATTATCCTCTTTGGATAACTAGGTTGTGTTATTAAAGATGTATACAGCATTGGGTATTAAAAATTACCTTGCTTAATTTTAGAACTTAAGCATATCTCTTGATGAACATATATGCTTCGTGGACTTTAAACATAATATATTTAAGAAGTAAAACATTATTACTCTATAAGTAATGACTGAAATTTTAAACTGTTATCCATTGAATTCAGTCACCATGAATGCATTAATAAGACAGGTACTATTTTAAAACTTATAAAACTAATATTAAAACAATGTTTAGAGGGTATGTAATCACTTTGTTTTCTTTTTGTGACACTCATGAAAATTAAATTGAAGCTAAATGTATTTTACTTAACTACTCTTGGACATCCAATTCACTTAATAATTTTTTTCATTTTCAGTAACCTAATTCCAGGCTAGTGATATGTAGCTCAGTGGTAGAGTGCTTGCCTAGCATGTACAAAGCCCTGGGTTCAATACCCCGCACCATGAAAACAAAACAAATAACTTAATTCTTGCTAAATGGTAAGGATTACAGTTTTGGTACTAAATACACTAATGATTTAAGAAAACATTCTCCCTTAACTACTTTTGAGATATAAACCAAATTCCAAAGGTACATATAAATTTGGTAATGAGCATTTATAGTTTTGCCATAGAGTCAAACATCTTGAAGTAGTTCAGTCAGATGTATACAATGTAAGATGGCCAAAATTAGTGCTAGACACCTGTGGATCACGCCTGTAATCCTAGCTACTTGGGAGACTGAGATCTGGAGGATCAAGAATCGAGGCCAACTGGAACAAATAGTTCCAGAGACCCCCATCTCCAAAATAACCAGAGCAAATGGATTGGCGGTGTGGCTCAAGTGGTAGAGTACCTGCTTTGCAAGTGAGAAATCTTGAGTTCAAGTGCAGTCCCACAAAAAAAAATATGGTTAAAATTGAGTTAAACTTAGTTCCCACTTTGTGATGATCAAGCATAAAATAGGAGCCAGAAGATAGGTTTTTGTTACATGGATTCTTTGAAAAGATTGTAACTAATAATGTTAATTTTGCATTATTTAGTTACTTAAAAATGTTTTCTTCCCTTCTTAACAGATTCCGTTTTTAGAGCTAATCTATATATGTATGTGTGTGTTAATTTTAATAATACCAATTCACTCTTGAATGAGTTACTAGTTTTATTACCCCCTCCCAAAGTATATTTCATATGATACTAAATAATTGCTCTCAAATTTGAATATAAATTTTAGTGGCTAGCAACATTATTAATTCAGTAGATATATACAATACTTCCTTAGGATAAACATTTTACTAAAACTTAGATGATATTTGTCTTGTAAAAATGCAGTTATAAATCTTTGTAGACATTACCTTTGAAACTTTGAACTTTCAATGTATATTTCTGAGATAGCATTTGTTGTGACTTATCACCTCTTCTTCAGTGATTTTTTGTTTTTTAAACCTGAGATGTATACTGCCTAGTCATTTGGGGTTTATTTATCACTGTTCAAGTTAAGAAAATGTGTCTGCCTGTTTTTGCTTAGTGCCAAAAAGTGAATTCTTTTGGAATATACATGAAATTGGAGGCCTGAAGGACAAAGACATCATTAGAAGTTGGCATTTGTTCTTCACTGGAATAAACAATATTGGAATATTGAATTGGGTTTATATCTATCAATCATCTTAAAATATGATACATTCTCATTTTACAGCATAGAAATAAGCCTCATAAATGGCTTGAATAGGTAGCTGTATAAATAACTCACATTCCTCTGTATCATTCAATACATAAACATTTTGTGGGGGAAGAGTATGTAGTTAAATGACTGAATCTGAGTTGTGTGGATATTTGTGAAACAAACTAGAGAAGAGTTAAGAGAAAAAAAATAGGTTGGTTAAGGGATGAGCTTTTTTATCCACTTCATTTTTACTCACTTTAGGTTTCTTCTTTATGCGTGATGTCTGCTGCACAGTTGTAATTGGAGAAAGAAGGAGTGGAAGGGAAGAGTTTTTCATCTTTAATAATCTCTATCTCAATAAAGTATGCCTGCCAGCCTAGCTTTCCCTAAATAATAGAGGAAAGATGAGTTAAGAGTATAAGACAGTTATTATTTGTTTTTTGTTTTCTGTGTATCATACTGGATATTTTTGCTGTGGTTCATATATTTACATGTTAGTAATTTTGATGGCTTTTGGATAATTCCACTCTAGAGGGAGAACTGGTGGGCGGTCCTTCCTGTGACACGACCCTTGAGTGACAGTTCTGTTTGATTGCCTCCAGTACTGTGAGGAAAGGACACGACTCTATGGTGAGGACTGATGGACATACATTATCTGAGAAAAGAAACTACCAGGTAAGGCTTTTCTTTTTTTTTTTCTCTCTGTTGGTTATATAGTTACACTGAAATAGAAATGCTTATTTTAATAATGATTGTTTTTTAGTATGAAAACAAATTTTCTATTGTATATGTCAAAACTTAGGTTTGATTTGTAATTTATGACCTTGTGGCTAGATTTAGAAGTAGTGGTTTAAAAACAGTGTTGATTGCTTTTACACTCATGTTTTAACAATAAGTCTTGGGCTATATTTTGTGTAAGAGAGTTATCCCAGAAATGTAGACAAAATAGGATAGAATGTACAAGGAATAGAATTGAGACCCAGAATTTTCAGTGACCTAAATTCTTTTGAATTTTGTTTAGTTTGCGGTCTTTATAATGCTTGTTTTCTCCTTTAATAAATTGGTTAATAATAGCTGTTCCTTATATAGTGTGTAAGGATGTAAAATAGTTGAATTGTAACATCCCTATTTTTCTCTGAGTTTTTAAAAGGTGAGTTTTAGAGATAGTGTTATTAAATAGTGATAGTTTTTAAAAGAACAAGCATAACATTTGAATTTAATTTTCTAAAAGGAAACCTGCTTTATTCATTTGGTAATGATCCAGTATTAAATTATATAGTAATCTAGAATGTAGCAAAATAAAAACAAAAACATATGGGCATCTTGCGCATATAGGTATCCAACTTTCCTTTTCCCCTTACCCACCAGTTTCATTCCTTCTAGGTTGTTAAGGCAGCTAGTTAGGATAACAACAACTTAACTACTCAATTATCTACCAGTCATTTATTTTAGAGTAGTTCATCCTTTCTTCCCTCACATTGGGAAAGTAAACAGTGGAGAAAGTTGTAAATGAATTTTTATTGTGTATACTAGCAAAGTGCCTTCAATTATAAGATCTTGCTTCTGGTTTGGGCACTGTCCTTAGTAAAAAAAAGATGCTTTTATATTTAACCTTCTAGAGTTTCTCCTAACTTGATATATGACATTTCTTGCCAGATCTTTATGACTTTAGTAAGCCAAAGTAAGTTGGGACTGTCCCAGAATGGTTTTCCCTGTAACTTTTTTTCTGATTTGTCCTCTTAGACTTGACCAGCATAGTCTTTGCTCTTTATATGTACTTGCTTTAGCTTCTCCTGTCTTACAACCACTTCCAACAACTCTGACTCTTAAGATTTTGATTGTCATACTTCTTGAGTTTTTGCATCTTTTGGTAGGTTCTGCTAAAATTATTTAAAGAATGTTGTGATTATAAATTATGTGGAATTTCAGTGCTCATAATCCAGTTTTTAAGATGTGAGTATAGAGCTTGTGTATGGTTACACAGTATAGTTAATTTGCCTCATGGAACCATATTCATATGAAATTCCAAAATTTTTACTTAAAAGAATAAAGCAAACATGTTTACACATGAAGAAATTTGCTTATTCCTACTTATGCTACTCTAAAAGTACTCACTTATTTTAGTGTTGTAATTTACAAATACAATTTTTTTGAGCTTACCTGAAAAATGCATTCATGGTTAGGGCTTTTCTGGCTGAAAATATTTTCCCGTTTGTCTTTTGTTGTTACATAGTGATTCTTAATGTGTATTGAAATATTCTTGAAAATAATTGTTTATATCTGGATTGCAAAATTATTTTATTTTGAAGCTTCCTCTGAAAAGAATTTTGAAAGAAACATAATAGCCTGTCCAATATTATGATGAATATTTATGAGATCAGAGATTCAAATGAATATTTTAAAAATCACCAAAGTAAAATTTGTATCTATACTAATATCTCTTAGAGTTGGTGTGTACTAGGATGAAACTGATGTTTCGACTTTGGAGGAATTTTTTATTTTTCATGGTTAAATTAGAAATTTTTTGTATACATGTTCGTAACTTTAGCTTTTGAGGGTTCTTGATTCTTATATTTATTGAAACAGCCTGATAATAGGCTAATATTCAAGTTTAATAAGAAGGATAATGTTTCTCTAGTTCTCATTTCCTTGTACACCTGACTAAAGCCTTAGGAATTTAATCTAGGAAGATGTGTTCTCTTACCCCTGTGCTGAAAGTGACTTTCAGATGGGCATGGGTTGAAGGTTTTTACAGTAGTATCTATTTTGTATGTTTTGTTTCTCACTATAAGCCCAATTGGGTATTTGGAGTTTGAGTACAGCAGATGCTTATTTGCATAGATAGATTGGTGTATCAGTTCAGATAAGAAAATTCATTTAAATGTTTCACAACTCATTCTTTTGGACAGATTATCAAACCTTTCCCAAGGAAATGTAATGTCAGGGTTTTTTCCCCCCCTTGGAATTTTTTTGTATTTCTCTAATGTACATTAATATATCCTAGATATGAGCATGCATAAATCTAAATAATCTTGTCCAGTTGCAATTTGCAAGGTTTTGTTGTTTGTTTGTTGTTTTTTTTTGCAGTGCTGGGGATCAAACCTAGGGCCTCCCATATACTAGGCAGTGCTTTTCCATTGAGCTACATCCTAGCACACAAATCTAAGTCTCTGGTCCCTCACATGGTTTTTACTTTTCCAGTGCCTCTTCTGTTACTCCTTGGAGTAGGTTTTTCCATTTGGTAATGAAAAGCTGCATTTAGTTTATCTGCCATGTACCTTATATACCCTCAAGCCTTTATATATACCAGTTCTCTTCATGTAATGAGTCCTCAGCATTCTTTGCATGATTGAAGAATTTGATTTCTGATTTTCAAGAAGCCATTCTACATTGGGCTCAGTGTTCATTTTCCTTGCTTTCATAGACTTTCTGTGTAGTTCTAGTTTTATGTTTACTATAATATATTTTAGGCATCTGTCTTTGCTTTTCTGAAGACCTGTGCAGTCCAGTACTATAGGCACTAGCCACAAATGGCTGTTCAAACTCATTTAAATTAACTAATATTATAATTTTAGTCTGTCAGTCACATAAGCCACATTTAAGATGCTCTATAGCCACATGCTGTAGTGACTGTCATACCTAAACAGTGCAGATTAGAATGTTTCCATCATTGCAGAAAATTGCCAGACTGTGCTGAAGTATGTAATAAGCTTCCTGAAAACTGGAACCGTATCTCTGTTTTTTTGGGGGGTACCTTTAGTTCCTAGTGTAGGCGTTCAATGCATGTTGTTTCAATAAAACAATGAAAGAACTTAAAGGAAGAAATGGGGAATGTGCTGGGTAATCTCTTACTGATATTTCTAAGAATTTTACTCTGAATGGAACTTTTCAAAATGAGGTCATTTCCTTTTTTTCAAAATTTTTTGACATTACTGGGGTTTGAACTCAGGGCTTCACACTTGCTAAGCAGGTGCTCTACTTCTTGAGCCATTCCATTACTCCTTTTTGCTCCAGTTATTTTTGAGATAGGGTCTTGCTTTTTCCCTGTACTGGCCTGGACTGCAGTTATCCTATTTTGTGCTTCCTACAGTAACTGGGTGACAGGCGTGCACCACCATGCCTAGCTTTTTCTGTTGAGACAAGGTTTTGTGAACGTTATCGCCTGGACTGTCTTGGAACTGCTACCTTCCTGATCTGAGTTTTCCAAGTAGCTAGGATAACAGGTGTGAACTACTTGTGCTCCTGTACCTTGTCATTAGTTTTTTAAATAACAAAAGTTATTAGATAACAAAATACATGCTTCTTGCAAAAATGTTGAAGAAAAAATATAAAATATAGTGTGAAAGTTCACCTTCACAATTTGTTCTTAACTGTTTGGTGTGTATCTTCAGATCTTTCTAGTGTCTGTATGAGTGCAGATGTGATTTGTTGTCTTTGTTTTAACAAATAGTATTTTGCAGGTTGCTTATTATACTTTATATTTCCACATCTCACCCCTTCCCCTGCCTTGTTTTATAGGAGTGATGTTAGTTTGAATTTTGTCTTATTTTTATTTTATATTTTTATCACATGTGTGTGTTTTCATGTATATAGGTATATCCTTTATTTGTACCGATTTTTGGAAAGTGGTGCCTTATTCCATTGTTCAGAGTAGGAAAAAAATGTGGAGTATTTCTAGCCCACCCAAGACCCTAAACAATTTCCTACATACCACTTAAATACAAAGCATCTATCCGACAAATTCACCAAGGATTTCTGCATGATATAAAACATGTAAAACACAAGTTACTTAATTATTTAATACACACAAAATGCATTAGTAGTTAATATTTCTATTTAGTATGAAAAAGTTTTATGTAGTGATATCTATAAGAAAACATTTTTATAAATAAGCAATGAAGGTTACCATTTTCATTTTTAGAAGTTATAAACTTTTTTAAAGTTATACATTACTGAAAACTTTTATGTCTGTAGTTCAGATGGATCTTTTAATTGATGATGTCTTAAGAGTTATAGTTGTGTCATAGTTACCTTGTGACTTTCTGTGATTCTTCTATCTAAATAGGATTAAAAACCACTAGCATCAAAACATCTTAACAATCTACAACATATAGCATGCTAAAGATAGATAATGAATATAAAGAACACTTAGAAAAATAAAATCAGTGAAATATTTTTTAAATAAATGCTTACCAGTTGAAGATTTGTCATGGTAGATCTCTGGTATACAAAAGCAGGAGAGAGAGGTTTTAGTCAAAGTGACTTTTTATGTTTCATTCACTTTACAGTTGCTAAAATCACATTGCTCCTAGAATTATGTTTTTTAATGTGATGCTACTGTTCATTATGAGAGCATATAATTATGCTATCAGCAACAATAGTCCCTTTGACTCCATAGCGTAAACTTATAAAATTTGATGTTTTATTTGGCATTCCTGGCTCCTCTTTTCTGTTTTTTCTGGCCAATCAAGAATATAAAATTAAATGAATTCCCAAGTTCTTCATTGGTTGACTTGCTGCTGTTTTATTTTCAAACACGTTTTTCCTTACCTTCTGAAATCATGAATCAAGGTAGCATTTTTTTATTTTGCTTTTGAGATAGGTGTCTTGCTGTTTTTGAATTAACTTTGCCAGGATTGGCCTTGAACTTGCTTCTGTCTTCTAAGTAGCTAAGA